TTATTTCTTATAAGTGAACTTTGAAAATTGCCTCTTTCAATATATTCTCCCATTTTCTGTAAGTTGTCAAATTATAGACATAGAGTTGTTCATAGTATTATTTTTCTAGCCTTTTAATGTTTGCAAGTTTCCACATTTTAAAAAACGGTGTCAAATTTGTAGTCACATAGTCAGACTAGTATAAAGAAACCAGAGTTAGTTCACTGGATTGATATAATTCTAGAGCAAAGCAAAAATTAGATGTTTGACTTAGGTCAGTCTTATATAGTAACAACAATTGATTTACTTTGGTCATTTTGAAATATTACTCTTTTAGGGTCCTCATTAGTATTTTGTAGCCCAGGGTCCTAATTAGTTCTAGTAACTTTTTTTCCCAGATTTTTTGGGATTTTCTATGTAGATAATCAGGTCAGCTATGAATATCATACTCATAAAAAAGAAAATTGAGATCAGAAATGTTAGTTTGCCCAAGAACATTTTGGATGAAGGTTGAGAACCAAGAATTCAACTAAATCCAAAATAAGTCAGTATTAGAGACCTATAAAACAATGTGCTTAAAAATTGGCCAGGTGTAGTGGCTCATGCCTGTAATCCTAGCACCTTGGGAGGCTGAGGAAGGAGGATCTCTTGAAACCAGGAGTTCAAGACCAGCTTGGGCAATAGCAAGACCCTGTCCCTACAAAAAATATTTTAAAAAATTAACTGGACATGGTGGCACATGCCTATAGTCACAGTTACTCGGGAGGCTGAGCCAAGAGGATTGCTTGAGCCCAGGAGTTTGAGGTTGCTGTGAGCTATGATTGCACTGTGGCAATCTAACCTGGGTGACAGAGTGAGATCCTGTCTCAAAAAAAAGAAAAAAATTATCGAGCACAGAAGGCAGTTTGCTATCCTGCATTAGTAATCTATTGATTGTTTGATTCCAGACAAATGACTGCATTAAACTTCCATTTCTTTATCTGTAAAAATACTTAACTTATTAGGTCAACATGATGTTTGAAGAGATTGATTCAAAACACCTGGCATATACATGCTCAAGTCTCAGTAAATAGAAGCTTCTATTATTTGTCACTGCAACCACCTCAGTAACTTGGGTTAAAGTTAAACTTGTGCCAGTTTCTAAAGACTAAGCTTGGAAGACAGAAAGGTCAAGTTCCTCCAAGTTGCAAAGAAAACCACCCTTAATTTCTCAAATACTTCACATAGGTTCTATGAGGATTTTTCAGTTTGGGGGAGGGAAGACATCCTTCCTTACCCTCATCTAGAAAACACTCAGTGACTCTATTTCAGTGAGAAAATGTATACTGAGCTTACATGTATCTATCTAGCATTGTGCTAAGCTCATTGGGAGAAACCAAAGAAGTATTCTATATGTAGAGCCTCTGCTTTTTTACAGAGCTTAAAGCAGAACCAAGCTAAAAGTAGAGGAAAATAATATCCATGAATCAATTAAGAAGAGAGGGGACTATATCATTAAAAATTTAATTAGAACTCAAAGCAGGACTAGGTAAAGTAGGCCTTGTACTCTCTGATAAAGCTTGCTGGTGGAGGTAGATTCTGAAGGAGGAACAGGGTTTGGAGAGGCAGGAGGGAAGATGGAGAATGTCTAGCAGAGACAACAGGAACCAGGGCCCAGAGTGACAGGCAGAGTAGCACATGGGTATGAGGCCAAGCTGTGAAGCCAGATTGCATAAGTCCAAGTTCCAGTTCTGCCCCCTGCTAGCTGTGTGACCTGGGCAGATGACCTAACCTTATCAACCCCTATGTCCTCACCTACAATAACATTGACCTCAAAGAATCATTGCATGGGCATAGTAACAAGTGTTGGGAACAGGACTTGGCACATGGTGTAGCTATTACAAGGCAGCAAGCAACCCAGCTTGCAGGCACAAGGGGTGTACAAAGAGGAGTATTAGGAAGTGAGGTTAGATTAGGGGATTGGGATCAGATAATAAAAATTCTATGATTATTCATAACTCTTCTTTCTATATTAACTTAATTTTTAAAATCTGCCTTTTCTCTGAAAATTGTAGCCCCACGTATTCAGGACTATTCTTGATCAAAGTGGCTTTAAGGGTCTCCTTCTTGAGAGATTTTTTAATCCACATTTTAGTTACTTTACCTTTTGAATTTGCCTTCTCGTCACTTAGTAATTAGGGGTGTGAAATTCAGGAGTCAAGATGTTATTTTCTCAGAAACCAATGGTGTAACAGTAAAAGAAGGTGAACTGAATCCATCATTTTAAGTATTACAGGATAATTCATTGTGACATGTGTTTGAATCATTTTTTGTTAGATGCTTTTATTTGTTTTCTCCCATGAAGTTTATGTTCTGGGACTGTTAAGGAAACAATGCCAGCTAGGGGAGTCTGGAAGACAGAAACAGAACATAAAATGCTGGCCTTAATTCATAAAGTCAAGAAAAAAGTCAGAACACTGGTTAAAAAAAAAAAAACAAAAAACTTTAACCATTCTTTTGGCTGAAACCAGGCTATTTGGGATTCTCTCCCAAGGACTGCTAAATAATTGGTATTGTTAAGAAAATACATCCCACCAACCTTTGTGATAATGTAAATACTAAACAATAACATTGTCGTCTGCATTTTTCATGTTTCTAACTAGTTGCTTTTATTTCATGGAGATACACCCTGAATGTGATACAGTTCTGTGGTACAATTCTTAGAATCCATAGTAAATATTGTTGTTTTTTTTTAATAAGATATAGAAATCTTCCATGACCAAGAGAGGATTTCCATATAATTCAGTCACTGGCCAAAATTCAAACCTACTTTCTACGCCGAAGGGTCCTGGACATAACACAGTGCTACTTACCCTCTTGGTAGTACATTGGAAGTAGCTCTGAACCAGGAGTCAAGAGCTTCTGAACTAGTTTGCTAGGGCTGCCATAACAAAAGTACCCAAAACTGGTGGTTTAAACCAGAAATTCATTGTTTCATAGTTCTGGCAGTTAGAAGTTCAAAATCAAGGTGTTGGCAGGGATGGTTTCTTCTGACAGCTGTGAGGGAGGGATCTGTTCCAGGACTCCTTCCTTAGCTTGTAGATGGCCAGCTTCTCTTTGTGTCTCTTCACATCCTCATCCCTCTGCGTGTATCTCTTTTTATAAGGATACTGGGTGTTGGTATCCTTTTATAAGTGATGTCAGATTAGGGTCCCACTCTACTCCAGTATGATCTTAATTAATTACATTTGCAATGACCCCATTTCCAAATAAATTCATATTCTGAGGAACTGAAGATTAGGACTTCAAGTATGAATTTGGTGGAGGTCAAAATTCAACCTGTAACAGCTTGCATTCTTCATGTATATTGCATCTTCTAATATTTTGACTGTAACTTGCTTCATTTTCTTTTAGCAAATATTTATAATTGTTTTTCTAAGCAACGGGCACCTAAAGTTAGATAAGTGCCCTCAGGAATAAACAGCCTACCCTGGCCTTATTTATCTTTTGATTCTCAGAACCAAGCACATTGCCAAGCACAAAGCATGACTCTATAAATATTTGATTTCTGGCAAAAAGAATAAAAGGGGGAGGGAGGATTCTACTGATTTTAGATCTTCTCTAGTGACAAAAACATCATTGCTTTACATTTCCTTAATGAGTTCAAGGCTTTGTATTGGTCCAAAATTAATGATTCTTACAAATGTGAATATCTTAATTTAAATATCTAGGTTGGATGTCTGTGTGAATTCATCAGGAACAACATCCTGCTTTACCTCGGTTTCTTGACAGGTTAGGTCAGAGGGTCCCAGACGTAAAAATGAAATCAGGATTAAATGTGATCTTAATCCAGTTCTACCCTCTGGCTTTACAGGATCCCAGCATCACTGCCCACAGTCACGTGGCCAGTTCCATGCTGAGTCAAGCCCAGAATGGCCTCTCTCCTCTCCCACTGCCCTTTCTATGACATGGGGCTGCCTTTACTTCCTACACTGTGTCAACAGCTAATTCCTCCCAGCCTGTGAGGTTGGGAGAGAACAGGTGAGGATTGCAAGTACCACACCCTCCACCTGCTCACATGGTCACATCCACTGAGATGGACTGGCATCACACCAGAGGGAAGGCGGGACGTGGGGAGTTCATCTATTATTACCCATGCACTTTTCGAGGGCTGAGCCTCAGCCCTGAGGCTGCCGGGTGGAGAGCTCAACCTCAGGGGCAGGAAGACAGGTGGGCACCTGCGTTCAGGGCATTGCTAGGCTTCATAGCGACTACTGCCCCACAGAACTCTCCCTCAGGACGGATGCTAGCACTTCTTAGCAAGCCTTTCTTCTCTGCTATATATCTGGGACGTTGAAGGATAAGAAAAAAATAATAAGCACCACAACAATTGACATTTAATAACCCCTGACTATGTGGAGGACATTGTGCTAAGTACTTGACATGATTAATCTCATTTAATCCTCACCACAATACCATGGCATAGGCACTGGTATTATTCCCAATTTACAGAGGGAGAAACTAGAAAGTTAAGCAACCCTCCCACGGCCCCAGAGCCTGAGGGTTAGCATTCCATCCAAATCCAGTAAATCTTTGAAGGCTATACAAATATCAGCCAGGTGGCCTAGGGCAAGTCACTCAACCTCTCAGAGCATTAGTTTATGGTGTCAATGGGTATAATGATACCGTATTTCCCTGAAAATAAGACCTACCCATAAAATAAGCCCTAGCAGGGTTTCTAAGCATTTGCACAATAGAAGCCCTACCCCGAAAATAAGACCCAGTGATGGGTGTAGCTATGCAGCGTATCTGCACAACCCATGCATTTCGTTGTAGAGCTGTAAAGAAGACCAGCAGCCCTTCTCAACTGCCCCATGAGCACTCTATTGCTCGACATGAGAGATTGGGGCCAATGGTTCTAAAGGAAATAGAGTCTCAAGACATTCAGGATGGAATTCAGGGTTTGGAGAGTTATGATGATGTTCCAGAAGAAGACGACTTAACTATATTTGAATAAATGTAGATTGTTGTGCCATACTTAAAAAAAATAACACATCCCCTGAAAATAAGCCCTAGGGTGTCTTCTTGAGGAAAAATAAATATAAGACCCTGTCTTATATTTGGAGAAACACGGTACCTGCCTTGCAGGTATGTCATGCAGATTAGATATAATACATGTAAAGTGCTTAGCACAGAGACTATCTATATTGCATCAAATTCTTCATACAGAGAAGCTGTATGTGTCCTCTTCCTGGTTATTCTCAGTTATTATACAAAAATTCATGGGAAAAGAAATATGTCTCCTAATACCTCCATAAGAATAAGTATGGAAGGAAGGTACAGTGAGGGCACTGGAAGGCCATAGGGTCATGGACACAGTAAGAGAGCCCAAAGAATATTTTACTTATCCCATTTTGGTCCAGGTCTGTCCAACCAATGGAAGATAAGCTATTATCAATGTTATAAAATTAGACAAGGGGTATTTATGGACTGGACAATGGAGAGCCTCACTTGTCAAGGACATTATTCCTGGACCCCAATGGGATTCCCAGGGGAAAACTGAGCTCACTTCTATAGTATTACAATAGCCATGGCATGGAGCAGTTGCATGCACCAATGCCAGCATCTCAGAGATTACTGTCCATCTCATCCTCACAGCAACCCCAACAAATGGGAATTATTCTGCCTCTTTCAGCAGAGGAGGGTGCAAACCCAAGTCTGCTTTATTTATAAGCCCATGACCTTAAAATACTGTACATACTAGAAAAGTCTGGTTGTAAGAGGAAAAAATCAATTCAATATACTACAAGTAAAGGGGAAATTTTATTATGTAAATAATATTTTACAGGTTCCTGAGTAAGGAGGCAGAATTAGGAATAAAAAAAATTGTCTATTCACCAGTCTCTATCTCTCCATCTTTTGCATCAGTTTTCCTTTCCTCTTTGTAGAAGACCTCTCTTTCTCAGCCCTATTGTAGAATTAGCCATTTCGTACTTCTAAAGTTATCTGCCACTGATCCAGCATCTCATGAATATTTCTTTTCAAATACCCAGAGAAGAATTCTATTGGTCCCTCTCAAGTCAATTGTCTTCCAGTGTTTGTTCTGGTCGGGGACCAGCAAAAACATGGCAAGCGGAATCCATCCTGTGAATTTCAGATAATAGAGAAAGGGATTGATGCTCAGGGGTAGATAAGCATTAGAAAAGGTATCCTCTAGAGAGCTATACTGCTTTCCTATAAGATATTGAAGCATTTTTTTTTTCATTTCAGAACATTCAAACCAAGTATGGTCTGTATTCAACAAGTATTAACGGAGGAAGGTGTAATAAGGATATTTAGTTGCGAAAGACATCGATTTAGGCAGAGAAATTAGTGAATCTGGAATGTGGAGTAGCCAAAGAAATTAAAACACACCAGACCAGTCTACTAGTAGGGTCTTTATACGTTGTCTGTGCTCCATAGCAGTTCTGTCCAATAGAAATAAAATGCAAATCACATAAGTAATTTCAAACATTCTTCTAGTCACATGTTTTAAAAAGTGAAAGGTAAGAGATAAAATTCATTTTGATAATATAATTTGTTTAACCTGATATCCAAAATATTATCATTTTAACATGTAATCAATATTAAGTATTATTAATGAGATATTTTACATTTTTTTGTACTAAGTCTTCAAAATTTAATGAGTCTTTTACATCTCAGTTTGGATGTTATATTTTTATTGGGAGTATTTGATCTGTATTTACATTTTCAGTTGAAAAAGTAGACCTACAATCACGATCCATTATTTTACATTATCTCTCATTATTTATATGGGATGAAATGAAATGAATTCCAGGGTTTCCAGTTATTTCTCACTGAGCTGGTTTATTGCCTAGGCTCTCTCTAAGTAGAGATGATAGTGAATAAAATGTCCATGCTGGGACTGTGGGCTCCCACCCACAAAGCAAAAAATAGCTATTAATAGAAACTGCAAGATACCTTTGTTCACTTCTTTGCTTGGTTTATACAACAACAAATAATTTTTTTTTCATCGATTGAACTGATTATGTTGAACATTTTTGAGATTTTTACTTTTACTTTTTTTTAACATTGAAAAAAATCAGTCTTCCTTAGGATAACTCTTTCCTTGTCCTCTGAAATTCTATAATTGCAGGGAAAAGGGGGTCAGGAGGTGCTAACAGTACAAATCACTGATGTCAAAATGCTAATTCTTGCAGACAGCATTTCATTTCTTTCTTTTTCTTTTTTTTTTAAACAGTCTCACTCTGTTTCCTGGGCTAGAGTGCCATGGCATCAGCCTAGCTCACAGCAACCTCAAACTCCTAGGTTCAAGCAATCCTCCTGCCTCAGCCTCCCGAGGAGCTGGGACTACAGGCATGTGCCACCATGCCCGGCTAATTTTTTTCTATGTATACTTTTAGTTGGCCAATTAATTTCTTTCTATTTTTAATAGAGACGAGGTCCTGCTCTTGCTCAGCCTGGTCTCGAACTCCTAGGATTACCGGCGTGAGCCACTGCGCCTGGCCATCGGCCAGCATTTCTTAGCAAGGAATTAACAGCCACTATGGAGAGCACCCAGGCAAGACTTGCAAACTGAACGATGGTCATGACCTTCTAGCTCTAGAAGCCCAGGGGGTTAGGGGCTGTGAGTAAAATCACGTAAAGATAGCACGCGCCTGCCAGCTCCTCTCATGCTCTCCTCTCCTTGGTATTGCTGGGCCTGGTAGGGCCTCGGCTTTTCTTATTCTTTTTATTCGTGCTTCGATGATTCAGGGAGGGAAGAGATAGCTCCAGCTCCCTTTTCTTGGCGTCCCAGTCTCCGTCCCTATCATCCAGGGGCAGCCCCTTCTGCAGGGCGGCGAGGCGGTGGTCCCGGCACTCGGGCTCGGCCCTAGGAAAGAAGGGGGGAAGGCTCTGAACTCGGGGAGCAGCGGGGGCCTGTCTTCCTGAGCTGCTAGCATGGGGCAATCGGCAGCCCAGGAGGAAGGAGGCCACGTGCGAGCATTCCCAAGTGTACACTTAAGGAGGCCCCACGCACTAAAGAAAGGAAAACTGGTGCCCCCGCAGTGAGGTGTTAACACAGACCCAAAGACAGTCACTGGGCTTGCAGAAGATGCTGCTAATTCTTAAAGTGCTCACATTTGTAAAGCAACCTGCCCATGATTGGGAGGCTGTTTGCCTTTGTTTATTTTTAATTGTATTATTCCTAGTTATAAGAATGATGTATGGTCTTTGTATAAAATTTGGAAGTAGAGAAACATATAAGGAAGAAAATAAAAACCACCCATAATGACATATGTATTATATGGATGGATGGATTATGTAAAAAATATAGATAATCATACATGGATGGATGGATAATAGATAAACAGATAAAGAGACGGACAAATGGGTTATCATACACACATAGACAATGGGAAGTTTTGTAGATGAAGCCAAAGGTGAGTATGTGACTTGTTTGAAAACATCGGTGACCGTCACTTCATAGAGATAAAATTTGAACCAATATGAGGACAAATGGAATTTGAGAGGCTAAGTGATATATAGGAAGGGCAAACAGCATCCTGAGTGCAAACCTCTATGAAAAGCACATTTCATTCAAAGCACAGCAAGCCTGCCTGTCCCTCACTGTCCCCTCCCCAAGTTGGAAATGACCTTTCGATCTTCAGACCACAGAGCGTCGTCCCTCCTCCGCCTTGTCACTCTCTATCCTGTATTTGTGTTATTTATGTAAACAAGCGATTTCCTCTCCCAGACTTCTTGATGTCCAGCACTGTACCTGACTTATCTTTAGGCCCTTTTCAGTGTCTTACTCAATCACCTGCACATAGTAGGACTCGAAAATATCTGTGGCATGAGTGGTTTATCACTTAGGGAGGCTGAATCAAAAACTTAAATTGCTCCAGGTGATCCCTAGGATATTATTCGGAAAATTATCAAGCACTGTCTACGCTTCTTTTGCAATTCTCTTATGTCCTTTTTCTTTCTTCATTATCCTAGCCTGGGAGCTCACTTACTCACAAGGTGAATCGTTAAGAAATTTCTTAAGTGATCTCCTTGCCTGAAGTCTGTCTTCACTTCTACCTACACAGCGCCATTGGCACCTTCCCGGTTACACGAGTAAATTGCTAAGGCATCTATTCCAGCTTGTCAGTCCCCTGCTGAGCTCACACTCATCTACTTGCCCGGCTCACTATGGTCACCCACCCACTCACCTGACCATAACCTCTATTCCTGTCTAGTGTGAATCTCTACTTAGCCAGGCCACTCCTCCCTGCACCGTCCCTCTATCTCCTCACATATACACACCACCTATGCCTTCCAAGTTGTGCCTTCGCTCCAAATCAACAGTTTTCCTCCCATTAGCCAGATCCTAGCTATCTTTCAAGGTCCAGACTAATTTCCCCTTACTCAAGGATTCTTCTTTCTAAACCCTTTGTCAGAAGGGAAGTTCCTAGCGGGAGTAGAAACTGCTTATGCTGATCAGTAGAAATGACCGGCACATGATGTGATTGACCTTTGTCATTTTTCTCTGCTCATCACTGCCTGTATACTTTCCATGGTAATAGCGCTCCCCACTATTTGCGGGGGAGTTATGCTGAGATCGTGTATCATGTTCATCCACCCACAGGTCACTAGGGAGGGATTGAGATTACTCAGAGAAAGTCAGTAGTAGAGGACAGCCAAGGACAGGACCCTGAGGAATTTCAGCATCTAAAAGGCATGCAAGAGTAAATCATGAGATTTATTCTTAGGAAAAGCATGTACCAAAATCATGAGACATGAACAGAGAGATAAAAGGAAAACTAAAAGAGAGTAGCATCAGATAAAGCAAAGGAGAAGAGTTTCAGGAATATCAAATACTGAATTAAGAAGAGGTAAGATGTGTATTGAGAAGAGGCCAATGGTTGAGCAAGGAGCTCCCTGGTAACTTGGGTGAGAGCTGATTCAGTAGAAGGAAGGGGGAAGAAGTCTGAAAAGTGGGTGAGGGTGAGAAAGTAGAGACAATTGTGCAGATTGATGTGTAAGTAGCTTAGAAGTATAGGGAAGAAGAAAGACGCAGCAGAAGTTAGAGGGGCCTTTGACTTTTGTGTGTGTGTGTTTCATAGACTGTATTTGAACATGTTCACACATCAAAAGGAAGTCACAGGAAGGAACAGAAAAAAACTAAAAATTCAGGAGAAAGAATAAAAATATAACAAAGAATACATGAATGGAGCCGGGCGCGGTGGCTCACGCCTGTAATCCTAGCACTCTGGGAGGCTGAGGCGGGCGGATTGCTCGAGGTCAGGAGTTCGAAACCAGCCTGAGCAAGAGCGAGACCCCGTCTCTACTATAAATAGAAAGAAATTAATTGGCCAACTAATATATATATAAAATTAGCCGGGCATGGTGGCGCATGCCTGTAGTCCCAGCTACTCGGGAGGCTGAGGCAGAAGGATTGCTTGAGCCCAGGAGTTTGAGGTTGCTGTGAGCTAGGCTGACGCCACGGCACTCACTCTAGCCTGGTCAATAAGCGAGACTCTGTCTCAAAAAAAAAAAAAAAAAAAGAATACATGAATGATGGTCTTGTAGAACAGCACTCACCAATCTTTTTGGCACCAGGGACTCGTTTCCTAAAAGACAATTTTTCCATGGACCGGGGTTGGGGGCTGGTGTGAGGATGATTCAAGTGCATCACATTTATTGTGCAGTCAAACCTCTCTGCTAATGATAATCTGTATTTGCAGCCACTCCCCAGCGCTAGCATCACTCCCTCGGCCCCACCTCAGGTCATCAGGCATTAGATTCTCATAAGGAGTGCAACCGAGATCCCTTGCATGTGGAATTTATAGTAGGGTTCGAGAATCTATGAGAATCCAATGCCACTGCTGATCTAACAGGAGGTGGAGCTCAGGCAGCAATGCCAGCAATGGAAAGTGGCTATAAATACAGATGAAGCTTTGCTCACTCACCCACCACTCACCTCCTGCTGTGCAGCCCAGTTCCTATCAGGCCACTGATGGGTACCAGTCCACCGCCCAGGGGATGGGGACCACAGTTATAGAAGACATAAAAGGTTGCATAAAGGGTCCATATGGAAGGATAACACTTTTCACAGGAGGGACAGGAAGGCAAGAAGAAACTGATATCAGTGTTTATAAAATCTATAGATGTAGGGGTTGAAAAATCTGTCCCCCATGACTTCAATATTCTCTCTGAGGCAGAAGACTTACCCTCTGAGAAGCTCAGGTGTGATGGGGACTTGGAATTGTCAAATAGAGAGTATGACAGGAAGAGACAGCCAAGCTGCTCTGAGGGCTCCACTAAAGGAGGAAATCATAAAAGTTCTGGGGATATCCATCTACTTATTTATGGGATTGTTTCTAGCTGACCATGCATAGGAGTCAGGAAGACAGAGATTCATCCAAGGTTGGGAATTCTGGGTTATATGCTACAAAAGGACCAAGGATTGGGAAGTTAAGGCTAGCAGGAAGACCATGGAAGAAATAGTGTATAGTGGTATCCAGATGGCAGGGGAAATTAGTGACACCTTCAGGCAGGTGATAGATTTGGAGAAAAAAGACAAGTTGGATGAGAAGAAATCTTCAAGGACCTGTGTGGTGACCCAGGAACTGATAAAGTGAAGGGAGCTATGGTCACACAGTATGGCAGAGTTTTAAAAAGTTCAGAGAACAATGCTGATGCTGAGGTCCACAGTGGATGGAGATCATGGAACGTGGGGGGTAACAGCAGAAATCGGGGAGAAGAGACAGGCTGCGAGTCAGGACTTGAGGTTCTGCCTCTTTACTCCCCAAATCACCGCAATCGTGATTTTGGATATTTTTAATGTGAGACACCGCCTTTAAAAGAGGGTCTCTTGGGTTACTTCTACAGATAACCAATTTCATCACAGGCAAAAATTTATTAGTTTAACATTCTGAAGATAACTGTAGTTTGAAGTTCTTAGCAGGGCATTTCATTGCTGTCCTCCTCCCCGACCATGAACTGCCCCTACAGAGAGATTTGCTGTCTGTCTCACTTGGTTTCCAAGCAACGATGCCCTCCCTCTATGACTCTATTTTTTCTTATATGAATTACTTGTTGACCCAATCAAATGATAAATTCCTAAATTTTATTTCCATCCCTCTCAGAGATATAACTGTTATGTACGTAATTGGCACTTAATTATGTTTGAATGCTCAGTAGAATGAAAAAATGAACAAAGGCTAGACGGATTTCTATCTTTGGTGTGTGGATAGGTAGGGGGTTCATAGATGAACATCGAAGTTTAAAAAGATAGAAAGGTCCTGAAAAATAGAAAAAGCCTAATTCACAAGCCTCATTTTATTTATTTTTTATTTTTATTTTTACCTGAATACATTCTGCACAGAAACCAGCCTCATTTATTTATTTATTTATTTATTTATTTATTTATTTATTTAGAGACAGAGTCTCGCTTTGTTGCCCAGGCTAGAGCGAGTGCCCATGGCGTCAGCCTAGCTCACAGCAACCTCAAACTCCTGAGCTCAAGCAATCCTGCTGCCTCAGCCTCCTGAGTAGCTAGGACTACAGGCATGCGCTAATTTTTTCTATATATATATTAGTTGGCCAATTAATTTCTTTGTATTTATAGTAGAGACGGGGCTCTCTCTCAGGCTGGTTTCGAACTCCTGACCTCGAGCAATCCGCTGGCCTCAGCCTCCCAGACAGCCTCATTTTAAATACGAGAAGATCAAGGGTCAGGAAGGTGACTTGACTTGCACGAGGCCACAAAGCTAGTTTCAGAAAGCTGAAGGTCATGATTCTCGTACCATGTCCCATCTTCAGACTTGATATCCCCACTCTCTTATCTGAGACCACTTTTGTAGAATCTAAAACAATAGGTCAATATAGTTTTCACCCACAAACTAGCCATTTCAATGAAAAAGTTAATTAAATAGCTCAATTTAAAAAATCAATAAAAACAATCATCCATTGTCTGGAAGTTCCTCATTTCATTTTCATTGACCTGAGACCACTGTGTCAGCCAAGACCTTTATCATAGACTCCTGTTTCTCTGCCCCTTCTATAGGTGAAAAAAAAAAAAAAAATTAAACTTACTTCTCCAGAAATGCCACGCAGGCTTTCTGCCCATAGATCTGTGCAATCCTCTTTGGTGTGTCACCGAAGAAGTCTGGGGCATCAATGGCTGCATGCAATGCGTGGAGAGTCCTGAGCACATTCAGGTGGCCTGACTCAGCTGCAAAATGAGCGGGGGTCCAGCCCACGTCGGTGACCAGGCAGGGCCTGGCTCCATATTCTATCAGGAGGTGCACCACTTCCATTTGCCCTTACGTGGACCAAGGAGAAACAGGATGAGGGTAAGCTAAAAATGTCTCTGGTGGCCTGAGGCCAGGGCCACCCTAGCTAACACAATGGAAGGACTCTGGAGAGCCTTTGAGGAGCCTCCAGTTTCCTGTCATCATCCCCTCCTCCCTTCTGGCCCTTTCTTACCAGGGACTCGGGGCCCTACCCTCACCCCATGAACCTTGCCTGAGCTTGCCCCTCCCAGTGTTCCCTGTACCCCTCCCCTGTCTGCTGCCTCAGGCCCTGCCTAGGAATCTTGCTTTTTCTCTCCCAAGTCACACTCTACTTGCCTATTGCAAAGGTCCTTTCTGCTTTTGGTAGTCTCAATGCTGACTTCAAAAACAAGTGTTTTAAGTCCCATTTACATTACAGCTAGCACAGGTTAAGAGCAGGCTTTCTAGTCAACAGATGTGAGTTCATATCCTGAGAATACCACTTGCTAACAAGTGGCACCTCGGACAAGAAACGAGTGTCTGAGGCTCAGTTTCTTCATTTGTAAATTAAGGATATCACCTTGCTGAATTCTTATGGCATACAGGTAAAGTCACAGGCATAGAGTACACAGCGCAGTGCCCAGCACATACCAAATGCTCACAAAAAGGCATTGTAGTATAGCTACCATCACTTTGTACTTAGATGTCTGCAAAACTATTCCAACTAATTTCTCTGCAGCCAGTCTTGCTTCCTGCCAACCTATTCTTCATACAGGAGTCAAAACAAACTTTTCAAAAGCAAGGCTGACTACAACACATTCTTTTTTTTTTTTTTTTTTTTTTTTTTTTTTTTTTTGAGACAGAGTTTCACTTTGTTGCCGGGCTAGAGTGCTGTGGCGTCAGCCTAGCTCACAGCAACCTCAAACTCCATGGCTAAAGCGATCCTCCTGCCTCAGCCTCCCGAGTAGCTGGGACTACAGACCTGCACCACCATGCCTGGCTAATTTTTTCTATATATTTTTAGTTGGCCAATTAATTTCTTTCTATTTTTCAGTAGAGACGGGGTCTCGCTCTTGCTCAGGCTGGTTTTTGAACTCCTGACCTTGAGTGATCCGCCCGCCTTGACCTAACACATTCTTACTGAACCTTCTTCAGTGGGTTCAATACCAAAGCCCTCACAAGCCATTGGCTGAGTTTTTGCCACTAGCCTCCTCCAATTCTATAAGTGAGCCATGTTCGGCATTCCATGATGAACGAGACAAAGACCCGATTCTTCTCCATGATGTTCCGTTCCTGGCAGAGCTTGAGAGAGCAAAGGATTAATATTGGGAGCAGACTATATGATAAGCACTGCACATACATTGTCTTTCTGAATCCCCACCACAGGACTCCAAGGTAGCATTCCTGTCCCCATTACATAGATGAATAAACTGAGGCTCAGAGATGCTAAATCACTTGCTTAAGGTGCTACAGTTAATAAGTGGCAGTGTCAGGATTGAAATGTTCCATCTGGCCCCAAGGAAGTGTTCTTTCTACCCTTCCATACGGCCTACTGACTGATATCCTCATGAATGGTGGACTCAGAAGGATGCCTCTACTCGGGCATTGCCCACTCACCTCTGATTGCAGCCCAGTGAAGTGGGGTCCGGTCATTCCAGTCCACATCCTTGTAGTTTGGGTCACAGAGACCTTTCTTCAAAATCTTTTTCACTACATTATAGTCCCCTGCAGCCACAGCTTGGTGGAGCTTTGTCATGTCTGACATTTTGGCCAATTCCATGACAGCAGAGAACTGTGGGAGAGACATGGCACTTGGGAAATACTGTACAATCCTTTACTGAGTTACTGCATGGATTTCTGTGTCATTGATTTTCTTTTCTGCTTCGTGACTTTGCATCCTGCGTGTGCTCTGCTGAGTGTGCACTTACATCTTAGCTGTGGTCAGTGGTTAGTGCATGCCAGAATCCTACCCTAAAACTATTGACACATGCAGAGTTATGTCCACACTCATGGGCTGGCACTCTGCTATCTGGCCTCAAACCACCATCCAGCGCTGTTTCTTATTCCTACTTCAAAGTTCCAGTAGGGTTACCTCTAGATAGTTGTATAATTCCATCTTAACTTTCTTATTTGTAGAATAAGTATACGCTGCCAGGGTTGTTGTGAAGATAAGTGTCGATCCACATGAAAAGTTTATACTGGATTCAGAGCAGGTGCACTATGTAAATTAAATACCATTGCTACACCAGTTGGGGAGCTAAAAAGATGCAAACATACACAGAAATAGCTAAAAGCAGTTATTAATGTTATGCCATAAACCAGTAGTTCTCAAACTATAGTCTATAGACCCTTAGGGATCCCTGGGGCTCTCGCAGGGGATCCAAACTGTTTTCATTATATGAAAATGTTACTGCCCATGTTCACTGTGTAGACAATTGTCCTGATGGTTCAAAATAAATGATGCAGAAAACAGCTGGTGCCTGGGCACAAAGCAGGACAGTGATACCAAACTGGACTAGTAGTCATGCTGCTCACCGCACATGCACAGTGAAAAAAAAAGCCAGTTTCATAGGAACACCCTAAATGAGACAATTAGAATTATTTTTATTCCATCTTTACCTTTGATTATATAACTCAATAAATATTATTTTAAAATATTGTATAATATTGTATAATGAAATGTGTCAACATTGAGAAATATTCACCACCCCGTGGACCAATATTTTCCATATCATAGGATGTTACAAAATCATGCATGGTAAAGAGACCCATTTGAAATAGACCAATGGATTTTAATTAAACAGCACAGAAAATGAACTGATATCATTTCAGATTCTACACTGCAACTGTAACCACATCAGACCAATCTGGCTCAACTTTTATGCAACAGAATTGTGAGTTGCGAAAGTTTATAGCAGCACAATTCACAATTGCAAAGCTATGGAAACAACTCAAGTGCCCATCAATTCATGAGTGGATTAATAAAACGTGGTATATGTATACCATGGAATACTACTCAGCTTTAAGAAACAATGGTGATATAGCACCTCTTGTATATTCCTGGATACAGCTGGAACCCATTCTACTAAGTGAAGTATTTCAAGAATGGAAAAACCAGCACCACATGTACTCACCAGCAAATTGGTATTAATGAATCAACACATAAGTGGACATATAGGAAAAACATTTATCGGGTGTCGGGAGGGTGGGAGGGGGGAGGAGGGGGGGCTAGATAGAACCACAACGAGTAAGATGTGCAACGTTTGGGGGATGGACATGCTTGAAGCTCTTACTCGAGGGGGGAGGGGGGCATGGGCAATATAAGTAACCTTAGCACTTGTACCCCCATAATATGCCAAAATATGCTTAAAAAACCCAAAAAATAATAAAAAAAGAATTGAGTTGTTTTTAGTTGCCATGGAACCCCGAGGTTGAAGGTCACATAACATGAGCATGCCCAGATGAACCAAGCATGCAACCACGGGCAGAACCTCAGTGGTTGGATCAAGGAGTGGGGACTGAAGTGAGAAGGGGACACCATATGGTGGGATTCATCAGATCACGCCTCCTGGCATCACCTCATTGCAAGATCCAATCAGATCACACCTCATTACCCTCTGTCTATAAACCCAGCCTAACCTCCTTGCTCAGGGACACATTGTTTTGGGAATTATCCCCAGTGCTATCCTTACTTGTATCAGCTAATAAAACCTCTTTGCACTAACCAACTTGGCCATGTCTATTGGCCTGATACCTGCCAAGTGACTGAACCCCTCTGTTTGGGAGGTAACACAACTAAACTTTAAGACACTACCACTTGTCCAATTTTGGTGCAGTGTCAAAGAAGAATATCCATAAATATCTAAAAATACTACTTTTTCCAACTTTATATATATATATATACTTATGTGTGTATATATGTGTGTATATATGTACACACACATATATAAAGATTTTCTGTGTATATTTCAACAAAACAAAGCAACAACATAACAAATGCAGAAGCAGATGAGAGAATTCAGCCATCTTCTATCAGCCAGGCATTAAAGAAATTAAAGGAGGCATGGAGTAAACCAATGCCAGTCTTCACATTACTTTTGTTTTGGAAAACATAGTTATTTTTCATAAAAATTATATATATTATGATATAATGAGTTTACATAGTTTTTTAAATGAACTAATCAACATTTAAAATTTTTTCTCGATTTTAATTTCTAAGAGAGTAAATGTTGATAGCTATAACCCACATAAACAGAAACTCTCTGGGGTTCTCAATAGTTTTTAAGAGTGCAAAGAACTCCTGAGACCGAATATTTGAGAAGTGCTGGTATAAACAAATGAGGAGATGAGACAGAAAACAAGAGTGGGGACAGAGCCACTTGAGATGGGGCCTTTGGGAATGCCTCTTTGATCTCAAGGTTTAAGTTGATTTCTCTAGAAGGAGCTGGAGTCAGAGTTGCCAACTGTGACCAGCAGCAGCAGCCACATCCTGGGGAACTTGTTAGAAGTGCAAATTCCTGGGCTCAACCCCAGACCTACTAAATCTGAAAGTCAGGTGAGTCTGCTGTACACCCGAAATGGGAGAAAAGCCCTGGAGGGAGAGAAAGAAAAGTAAACATAATTAAAATGCAATGCCCTCAGTGCCCAGGGGACAGCGAGAAAGAGCCATTCTGGAAGACTGGGAAATAAAAGGAGCTTTCCTCTAAAATGGACCTAAGCTGGGTCCCGAAGGGGTGGGTAAGAGACACCTAGTGACTGAGAGTGGTGGAGGACCCCAAGCCCAGGCATTGACGTCTACGCCCAGGAGGCTCACACTGCAAAATGCAAGTAGCTCCAACTTTAATGTGCAGATCAAGGGTTGGCAAACTTTTTCTGCACAGCCCCAAATAGTAAACATTGTTATGCCAAGAAGCAAAATTGAGGCTGTTATCTACGAACTTAATAGGAGAGAAAACTCCTGCCCCACCCTGCCCCATTTTCTTGGGGTAGATCAGTCCTCGTGCCCAGCGGCCCTCAGCTGGAGACATTCTCAGGGCAAAGAGAGCAGGCCTAAGGAAGGAGGGTCACCTTCCTTCTCTGCCCTAGTGACACCCAGATCCCAGCCAGCGATGCCTCCATCTCAGCTTGGCAGGTGGCCAGACACGAGGCGGCCTGCAGAATCACAGACTCCCACACTGAGATTTCACTGCTTTGTCCCAGCAGTTGCCAACAGCAGAGTCCCCAGTGTGTAGGTGGTGACCAGTAGGGCCCTGGGCAGCAGCCAGGCACAGCCGTGGGCTGCAGGGGCAAGTACTGGGAGCAGACGGGGCAGCAGGGGCAGAGTGTGCTGCCTGGGCTCACTTCCGGGAGTCTCAGAGCACTGGCCCACAGAGGCTCAACAACTCAGTCAGAGGCCTGCAAAAGTGGGATAAGGCAGATTTGGTCTGTAGACCAACCTTTGGGATATACCACCCATGTGTGGGGATCTTAGTGAAAGGCGGATTCTGGCTTCGTAGGTCTGGGACGGGGCCTGAGATCCCACATTTGTAACAAGTTCCCATACCAGCTATTAGTTCATTCACAACATTTTGAGTAGCAATCTCTTTTGGGCTGAAAAGTCAGGGGTGGTCGGGCAGGCGGCAAGACTGGAGACCTGAGGAAGGAGTCAGGATGCAGCAGTTGCTTTCAACAGAGGGGCCACATGAGAATCACCAGCAGATTTTTAAAAATATAGATGCCTGGGCTTCAGCCCAAAAGGAATCAGAATCTTTGGTGTGCAGGATCAGGGTTACACGTGTTGTGTGAAGCAGGTGCTCTATGCATACTCTGGTGGGTAACAGAGAAGATAACACAGATTGCATTTTACTTTTAAAGTTTGTTTTAATAGAAAACCCTTACACTGGAGTATGTGATCAATGATAAAATGGTAAAAAAAAAATACTAGAGTGTTTCAAATTTGAGAATATCACTAAAAACAAAACCATTTTTAGAATCAGTGTCTGGAAGCCTTTTTGTTTGTCTTTCCTACAAGCCTGTAAGCAGGTTTACACTTCCACCAACTACATTTGTTCCACACTTGAGTTCACACCAAGGAGATTTCACAACTGCCCATGGATGAGTTGCAATGCAAGTAGAAGTTTTCACTGGGCAGCAAAATTTATTTCCAGAGAGATGAAAAAGCTGATCCTAAAAAAATCATATGGAAATGCAAGGGACCCAGAGTAGCCAAAACAATCTTGAAAAAGAACAAAGTTGGAGGCCTCATGCTTCCTGATTCCAATAAGCATGCTGAGACAATCCAATGGGAAAAGAATAGATTTGTCAACAAATGGTGCTGAGACAACTGGATATAAGAATGAAGTTGGTTCTCTTCCTCACGAAGATTTATTCCTGTGTTTTCCTCCAAGAATGCTATAGTTTTAAGTCTTCTATTTAGGTCTGTGACCCATTTTGCATTAATTTTTAATACATGGCACACTTGTCAAAAAACAATTGGGCATAAATGTCAGGGTTAATTTCTAGACCCTCAATTCTATTCCATTGCTCTGTATATCTGTCCTTGTGCTAGTACCACACAGTCTCCATTCCTGTAGGTTTGTAGTAAGTTTTGAAATGGGAAAGTATGAGTCTATATACTCGAGAGAATGAAAACATATGCTCATCTAAAAATATGGACATGAATGTTCATAGCATCGTTCATAATAGGCGAAAAGTGGAAACATCCCAAATGTCCATCAGTGGATTAATGGGTAAATAAAATGTGAGACATCCATGTAATGGAATATTATTTGGCAATAAAAAGGAATGAAGTGCTGATAAATGCTTCATGGATGAACCTTGAAACATGCTAAGTGAAAGAAGTCAGTCATAGAAGACCACATATTATATCAGGGGTCCTCAGACTTTTTAAACAGGGGGCAAGTTCACTGTCACTCAGACTGTTGGAGAGTGCGCACTGTGGGCCCAGGACAAGTCAGCTGCTAAGCAGGACAGGCAGCTGCGGCAAAAACACCTGGCAGCACGGATAAATGATGTCCTAGGCAGGCGGCATGTAGCCCTCCGGCCGTAGTTTGAGGACGCCTGTATTATAAGCTTCCATTTATGCAAAATGTCCAGAATAGGCAAATCTATAGAGACAGAATGCAGATTATTATTTTCCTAGGGCTGGGATCGGGGTGGCTGGGTGACTGCTGGTAAGTACAGTATTTCTTTTTGTGGCGATGAAATGTTCTCAAATTAGACTGTGGTAGGTGCCAGTTTCACAACTCTAAAATACCCACTGAATTGCACATTTTAAATGAATCCAATATTTTTGGTATTTGAATTATTTAAATACAGCTGCTTTTAAGAAATAAACCACTATTGTTAGAGGATTTCTATCAAATAAAACTTTTTTTTTTTTTGCAGAAAATATGTGCAATTCACTAGCCTATCATTGACTACTAAAATTTAGCAAACTTTCCTTTACATGAATCCTTGCTACTTTGGTTAAATTGCACTTGATTTTCTATCCTTCTGGTATATGTGTCTCAATTTGCAAAGTAGTCAGCAAATATAAGTTCTGATAAAGATGAGTGATCTGTAATAACTATAGTAAAAAGAGAGGGTAACGTAAAAATACTTACTATCTCGTATGAAACCCAAGGAGCTCTGTGCTGGCAGAAGTCTGAACTGTCTGGAGTGTTGCTGTGTTCACACCATGGAAACCGACCCCTCCTTCCTCATGAAAGCCACCAATCAACTGCAGCTTCCCTAGGTGTCTGGTGGGGTGGGACTGCCTCTCTGGGTCACATCGTAACTCTTCAATTCCAGTCTTCTTCTTTAGCACAAATGTGGTGGTCATTTACAGGCCCTTTCAAATAGCATTGGACGAAAACAAATTAAAATTTAAAAAAAAAGCCAATGATGGCCAGTCCACACGACACTGTGAAGGAGGTAAGCTGGTTAGTAACCATCTGTACACAGGAGACGTTTGACCTCCGTGGAGTCATGGGGACAGGAGACAGTGTGGGCCCTTCACGTTCAGAACCAGCTGTGAGATCTTGGACAGTGTCTTAATGTTACAGAGCTGCTTTTTTTTCACCAATAAAATGAAATTTTAACATTTTTTTTTCCTTAGGGCTATTAAAGATGATGAGCTGAAATAATTTGTAAAGCACTTGGCATAGGCTGGATGCTTAAATAAAAAGAACACCAATAAAAAATCCCTAGGTGCTTTCTCCTTGCCTTTTCTTTTTGCTCCTTGCTCTAAGCAAACATCAACCATATTTATGATGATGCTGATCTAAAAGACCCTCTTCCTTTCTCTTTCCCTCTCTTCCTTTATCCTTACTCCCTTTCTTTCTCTCTTTCTTTCTCTCTCTCTCTCTCTCTCTCTCTCTCTCTCTCTCTCTCTCTCTCTCTCTCTCTCTCTCCTTCTCCCAACCTCATTCTCCATCCATGTCTCTACCTATCTTCCTTCCCATATATATTTACTAAATACCATATATCTGCCAAACACGTTCTGGGTGCTGTGAAGAACAAGACAGTCACTGTTCCTGTCTTCTTTGAGCTTATAGTCTAGAGAAAAAAAACAATATGCAAGAAAACAAATAAATGTACCCATGTAAACGCACAACATGTGCAAGTGCCATGAACAAAATATATGCAGTGGCAGAAAACTAAAGAAAGGATTATGGACAACCCGAGCAAGTGACATCCAAGCTGAGATTCGGCACAAGAGAATAATCCAGACATCTGAGGAGCTGGGAGGGTGATCTAGGCAGAGGGAGGGAAGGAGCTTGGCTTACATGAGGAATATGGAAGAGGAGGACACAGCTGGTTTATGAAGTGTGGGCAAGAAGAAGAAGAGGATGAGATTAGTAAGGGCAAGGACTTGATAGTTCAGGATCTTCTAGGAGAGTAAGGTCCTCCTTACTTACTCTAGGCAAGGAGTTTGGATTTTTATTCCAAGTACAAAAAGTAGTTTTTGCAAGGAATTTAAACAAAGATGATGATGGTGCAACTGTATTTTCTTAAAAGGTTACTTTGGCTGTTATGTGGAAATGGACTGAAGGGAGATGGACTGAAAGCTGGAAGACCACCAAGGTGGCTACTGCACAAGTCCAGACAAGAATGGACGGTGACCCAGAGAACCATGGCCAGGGAGAGGAGAGGGGTGAAAAGCATTATTTGGGAGGGATTATTGACACATGTTGTCAATGGATTAGACTTGAGTAGGGAGGGAAAGGGAGGAATCAAGGAGGACCATCATGTCATTGGTTTGATGAACCTGTTGGAAGGTGGTGGCATTGGTGGTGGCAGTGACAGGTAGGGACAGATTTGGGTAGGGGAAGGGTAGTACAAATTAATGGCAGTGATGGGTAGGGACAGATTTGGGTAGGGGAAGGGTAGTACAAATTAATGGCAGTGACGGGTAGGGACAGATTTGGGTAGGGGAAAGGTAGTACAAATTAATGGCAGTGATGGGTAGGGACAGATTTGGGTAGGGGAGGGATTGTACAAATTAGGCGTTCCATTTGGATGTATTAAGTTTGAGATACGTGTAAGACATTCAAATCTCAAGTAGGAATCCAGAGTTCTGTGGCTTTTGGGCTAAAGATACATATTCTGGAGTCATCAGCATATAGGTGATATACACAGGTATAAGAATGCATAAGATAACCTAATTATAGCAGCTACAGAGGGGAGACCCAAGCCCCAAGCTCCCCAAGATTTAGTAGACCAAGAAAGAATTAGCAAAGGCGATTAAGAAGGACCACCAGGGAGGTATGAAGGGAACCAGGAGAATGTAGCCTCACAGAAAGAAGCCAAGGGAGCAGAGTATGGTTGGCAGCAGGAGCAGCCAATCATATCCAAGAGAGCAGTTTAATGACTGTCTATCACAAGCCAGAAAGAACGTAAGTGACACCCCATCCCCATCCTCAAGGAGCTGAATGTCTCATCACCCTTTCTAAGCTTCGTAACAGTTCCAGTTCAGCTTGATTTCACTGAGCTTGATGAGTAACTAGGATGTGCTGAGTGATGCAAGGGAACAAAAACAGGCCCTGTCCTCAAGGAGCTTGTCCTAAGTGACAGCTGGTGAGAAGTTGCTGCAGTTCCCATTAGCAAACTGCATGCACCTGAGGCCTTCACTTCCTTTACTTCACTTCCCTCTTGCATGTTGCCTTCCCCTAAACAGGTTTCTGACATCTAAGGTCTTGATAAGCCATGAGCTGGCCAGGGAGTAAGGCAACCAAAGGGAGGGGCCCCCAGATGTCTCACAAGTCAAGAGTGAGCTACTTCATTATATTAAAAAGAAGAAGGAGAAATGCCCTCCAAAAGGTTCAGAATATTGTAGTCTATTTTGAATAAAAAAATTTTGATATAACACACAAGGCTCTATATTAATGAAAATAATTACAAATGAATATAAAATCAAGTCAAAATAAATCCTGATCTTATAAAAATATTAATTCTTTGTACTCTACAAGTAGTAGGATCTGCTAATGGGATGCTCAACTTGTATGATGAATGTGTTTCAGTGCTGACCGTGGGACCTCGTGACCGGATGAATGTCAAACATCTGTGCTCTGGGGTTTCCCGCTGACCCCGTGATAGGCCACAGAGGCCACCTGGGCCAGCATTACTCTTTGGTCACAGTGGCTCAAGTATTGGAACTAACATTTCTGGCTGAGTTGACTTCCATGAAACCTTTCCTCCAGAGAATCAAGGCCATTTTTAGATCAGGAAGGGACTCTGGAAATAATGAGCCCCACACTCATTTTATAGATGAGGATATTGAGAACCATTGACATTAAATTACTTAGTTAAAATAACACTGCTACTGGGTTGTCATTCATCTCTAGCCACCTCCCCAGCTCCAGCTAAACTCAGCATGTAGAACTAGATGCCCCTTCAGGGACTGAGTAATCGTGGGCTGGCAGCTTTGCCACCCCCTTGCACGTTTTCCCACTGCTGTTGACCCCGCTCAGGGTACTGTGATGTGATTCTCTCCTCCCGCACTCCAGTTCTAGAGAAGATGATAATAATAATAAACACATACGGGCATTGCTCTGAACACGTTAACACACAGGAACAAATTTAATTGTGTGGGGCAGGTACAATGATTATGCCCACTTTACAGAAGAGGAAACTGAGGCACACAGTAATCAAGTCCCTTGCCTCAGGTTACAGAGCTAGTGGTTGGACAGTCCAGGTGGTTTGGTTGCAGCATCCACGTTCTTATCAGCTGTGCTCCTCTGCCTCCTGACGTGGTGAGTCAAAGTCACATGCAAATGTTACTGAAGTAATGACTGCCCCACCTGGGAGAGGAGCCAGTTCAAACCCACTCTCCTGAAAGAGGTAATGCAGTGAGGTGAACCAGAAGGGGACCTGGGAACAGAGAGTGGCAGGAAGGAAATGGAATATTTGTTAAATGCCTTTGTATTTCAGGCACTGGTCTAGGTATTCCACGGATATTATCTCATCAGTCCCAACACCAAGCCTGAGCTATAGAGAGTTTGCAGTCAAGGAAACTGAGGCTTAGAGGGCTTAAGCATACTCAGACCAAGTCTCTCTACTTCCTTTTGAGAGTTTAGAGTAAGAGTACCGATCAAACTCAGTGCCTGCCTGATGGTGTTGCTATCAGAGTTCAGATCTTGGGAGGGGGTGGGGGCGGGTCCCAGGGTTCCCTGCATATGGGACAGTGAAGGTAAGAGTTGGGTTCCATTTGGGCTTCCGGATCATTTGTTTGCCTCTTTCCATATCCATCTTGCAGGAGCCTTCACAGGGCCTTGTAGTCAGGGAAGAGGACCTTGGTTGATATCTGGGACCATCCCTGGATCAGACTGGAGAAGGGGAGGTGCTGGATCTAGGATGCAACATCCCTGCTGATGAGCTCAAGCTGGAGGTGTGTGTCAATCTGTAAAGAGGCTTATGAAATATCATTTCAGGGAGTTAGGATTTCCAGGTGCACCATGTATCCTCTAAGACAGGGGTCCTCAAACTTTTTAAACAGGGGGCCAGTTCACTGTCCCTCAGAGCGTTGGAGAGTGCACACTGTGGGCCCGGGACGAATCGGCTGTTAAACAGGACAGGCAGCGGCAGCAAAAACACCCGGAGGGCCGGATAAATGTACTAGGCGGCCGTAGGTTGAGGACCCCTGCTCTAAGATGTTATTTTGCTACCAGATATCTCCTTTAGAGACATAGCTGTGGCTGTCCTCCCAGCCTCTCATGTGTTGCACAACTTGGAGGTGGGTCTGTGCAGCTCCCTCACATACTAACTTCTGGATGGGGCTTCCAGAAGTGCTCTGTATGACTGTCTTGGATGCTCATGTCTCTCCCACCTAGCTAGCGGCCCTTGTCCAGACATTTCATCTTCTCTAGCCTCTCCTGTGGACCTGTTGTCCCTATATCAACTGACTTGAGGAGGTCCCTTTGGAGGATAAATTCACAACAAATATTTCCTGAGAATCTGATCACACATGCAAAAAGACTGTATAAGGAGTTATTAATCTAGTTGAGGAGGTAAGATATTGCACAATAAAATGCAACTGAGACTATATTAAATGCCATGAGAGGCACTAAAGCACTATAAGCTTGGTATTTAGGAAGCAGTGGGTATGCTGGACACCTTCCATTCATCTCATCAGATCTACTCTCTGTTGTTTTGCACCCTGGGAGGCTGAGCTGCGTGGACGGCACCCATGGGCTCCAGTGCTGCTGGCTTCCAGTTGGGCCTGGACAATTTCCAGCAGGAGATTGGAGGGTGGATGGAGCACAGAGTTGGAATATTTAGTCCTTGGCGTTCTGTCTGGCTGCCATGGGTTTGCTGTGGAGGTCACGGCCCCTGTCAGGCGGTCTTCTCCATGGAGGTACCCTCGCCAGGGCCCAGCCACTGCTTTCTCCTCTTGCTCCTTGAAGCGAAGGTGAGGGCTCTTTGGTGTTATTTGCCCAGAGGCACTGCACTATGCCTTGTTGAATTTCCTACATTCTGCTCCCTACTTTGTCCACAGACCCTTTATTAAACGCTCATCAAATAATCCAGTTTGAGCATGCTACATGCCTTCTGCCAGGCCCTGCACCAATAAAGGAGGAATTATATAGGCAAAGGGGTTGCCACAGCATGAAGTCCAGAATGGCTGAGTCGAATAAGTTGAATGTGGGAGACCTGAATGAAAAGGAGGTTGCAGCCAGATCCTGGAGGGACACAAATGTCATGTCGGGATGTCTGGACTTTATTTCTCCCTGTGTGCAATGGGAAACACTGACAGTTTTTGAATGGGGAAGTAGAATGATTACAAGTCCACCACTTTTGGAGAAGTAATTTTGCCACAAGAATGCAAAATGTATACTGGGGGTGAAGGAAACCCATGGAGGAAAGAGAAAGAGAAGGCAAAAAAAAAAAAAAATGCATATACTCTGACTCAGAAAATCCATTTCTAGATATTAATCACAAAGAAGTAATTAAAAACATGCACAGAGATTTAACTGCAAGGATATTCACTGCAGTACCACTGCAAAAATGAAAAATTATAAACAACCCAAATTTCCACTAACAAGGAACAAATATCACATAGCCTTTAGAAGTAATGCTGTAGGTGTGGATTTATTGGCTTGATAAAATGTTAGTATTCATACTGCTAAATGAAAACAGAACCTTATAAAAATGACTAATAATTTCAGTATATATATATGTTTATGTGGAGAAAAGCTTTTTAAAAAGATATACATTCACGGGTGGGAGGAGGGAGGAGGGGATGGGTATATACAAACATAATGAGTGAGATGTGCAACGTCTAGGGGATGGTCACGCTTGAAGCTCTGACTCGAGGGGGAGGGGGGCATGGGCAATATATGTAATCTTAACATTTGTACCCCCATAATATGCTGAAATAAAAAAAATGGAAAGAAAAATATATATACATTTAATTAGTAATAAATGCTATTTTTCCTATAATGAGCATGCATAATTTGTATAAACAAAAGAAACATTTCATAATTGTCAAGTGTAGAGCTTTTGAGGGCCTTGATTAGCATGGTAGCAGGAGGAATGGGAGGGCAGATCGGATGGCATTGTCCATGTAGAATCAAATAACTCAGCAACCAGATAAAGGATCTGGGTGACTGAGTCATTGCACCACTGAGAGAAACGTGGGAGGCTTGGACTTAGCCCAATGCCGCCTACATCTTGACTGAGGTAAGAAGGGGTGTTATCAATGACTAGGGGAAGGAAAAATGACCCGGAGCCCAATTTGGCAAGTCAGGTGGTAGGAACAATTACTGAATGCATACAAACAAGTTATTGTGACATCCAGAGTTCTAGGGGCCCTAAGTAAACCACGTCCACAAAAGGTATTAAGGCACTACAAATGAGGAATGAAGGCTAAGCCCAGCACTGGATAAGAAATTTTGAAATTTGCTAAAATATCGAACAAAAGATTCTTTGTCTTCTTTCTGCTTCAGAAATTTTAGAGGCATGGCTACCCTGGACCTGTTCTCCTCTGGAAGTGCTTCACCTCTGAGCTCTTGGACCTCAAATTCCATCCTCTGATCATGACATCTACCTCCCCACTTCTGTTGCTCCTCCTGGGGCGGGTTCTTTCAACTCACCCAAATCCAGTATTTTTCAGTTCTTCCCAATTATTCATATACATATTCATATCTATGTGAATTATCTCTTCTATAGGTACAAATATCGATACATATGTATAATTTATATGTATGTGTTTGGGAAAAACTCAAACCATGGTTTTATTTTGTTTGTTTTTACACCACAACAATCATTGACACAGAAGAAGACTTTTGAATGTGTAGGCATTGGAGCTTCCAGGCTCTTCCCAGATGTGCTACCTTCCAGAAAACTCCATGTGTTATCCAGAAGCTCCCCAAACCCTGTCTTTTTGGCTTTTTATGGAGGCTTTATCACATAGGCATGACTGACAACCATGTAGAGAAGTGATTGGACACAAATCACACGATATAAACCCAGCAAGGCCCGTCTACAGACTTTTCTTGGCCTCTCTGTGCAGCATTCCTTCCTCTAGGATATGGGGCAGGACCTTTTCTGGAATGAAGGTCTTTTGATGCACAATCAGATTAGAGTGCTGCCTTGGGCAGATAAGAGGAGGACAGGAGAAGGTCGGGGAGAGAGGGAGAGAGAGGGAGGGAGAGAGAGAGAGAGACAGAGAGAGAGAGAGAGAGAGAGACAGAGAGAGAGACAGAGAGAGAGACAGAGAGAGAGAGATTGATTCACAGAGATCCTGTTTCTAGACCAGCTCTCAAAGCCCACCCCTTTTTTCGGGGTGGTATTGAATCTCTAACTTCTTCATCTGGACATAAGGACAAACAGAGGAAGGCCTTAGAGATCTGTGGTAAGGCATATGTATACTTTTTTAGATTAGCATTCAGGGGCAATTTGTTTCACAGGGGGTTAGTCCAAAAAGTACAGGAAAATGTTATTAGACTGATATAGTTTTGTGTCCATTTTTATCTATTGGTAGGTTTAAATAAGGAACCGCTTCTTTAAAGCTATTAGTATTAGCTAACCCACGTGGAATGACTGCTTCCCGTGTGTCAGGCTCTGTCCTAAGCTTTTCATACGCACTTGCATTTCATTCTCACAAAGTGAGACTGCCTGACTTTGTCTCCATTTTATGGATGAGTATACTGAGAAGCAGAGATGAGGAAGAAATTGCCCAAGCTCACAATGCTTAAGTGGGAGAAACTGCCTACAACCCACGCATGCCTTCTTACTGCAGAGTCCTTGAGTTTAAAATAAAACAAAATTTTCATCTCCAGTTCTGGCATCTCACCAAGAAACAAACCACTATTTTGAAAAACATAATCTTTTAATAACACCACACACAGATTTCAAACTACTCTGAGTGTCTAACTGAAGCTTTAAATGAATGTTTCTTAATTTATCACGGAGTGGATGGATTGAGAAGAAAGCATTGGAAAATAGAGGGAGTTTTAGTTAAACCCCAAACAACCCTGTGTTAAACTGAACTATACAAGGGCCCTTTCTAACACCGTTTGCCCCTAACTCGTAAGCGCTATTCCGGATTGTCCTTCATTATATTTCTGCGGAAAACAACACTGGCACCGGGCAGGCCATCCGACCTGGAGCACAGTCCACACGCCTTCTGAACGCGCATTCAGTGCGCAAAGGACTGGAACACGCAACGCACAGAGCGTTTCAGATCACAGAGGGTTTCAGATCACAGAGGGACACGCAGTAACTTGGTGAATTTAGAGAACATGGTGAAACAAGCAGAATGGGCTTGATGTGGGGAGAATTCAGCCCCTGCTCAGAGCCCCCCCTCACAGATCTGCTCAGAGCCAGGTGTGAGAGCAGCACCTGGGAACGCTGCACCACCGAGGCACTGTCTGGATCCACCCGGGGGCGGGCCGCTCAGCTCGCCCGCGGGGCCAGGTTGCGGGACACTTGCCCGGGGAGAACGCAGGGTGCGCCCGCGCACGCTCGGGTCGGGAGGCCGGCGGGCGCACGCTCCTCCCCGGTCCCTCCTCCCGCGGCGCCGGGGGAGGGGAGGGCAGGGGAGGGCCGGGGCGATCAGGCCGCGCGGGGCGGGCCCAGGGCACAGCCCACCCGCCTGCCGCTAGCCCAAGCTGTCCCGCCGCCCCGCTGCCACGGCGACCGCGGCTGGCCCGAGGCCCGCAGTGCCGGCGACGCGGAGCATTCGGGTCTGGCGCGCGCGGGTGGCGACGGCGCGCCGCGGAACGTGCCCAGGGACCCCGGTTCCCGCGAGCAGCGCAGCGCAGCGCCGGGGTGAGGAGGGGCCGCGGGCGAGGCCGGGGCGGGAGGACGGGCGCGGGCCGCGCTGGGCTCAGGACACTGTCGCGCGCGGCGGGCCGGGCCCCAGGAGGGCGACCGCCAGCTGGGGCGGCACCGCGCTCCGGGCCGGTCCAGGGTTCACCGTCCCGTCCCCTCCGCCCTCAACAACAGCGCTGGGATCGTGGCGCGGGGAGGTGATGGAATTGGAACCCAGTTCTCCCGAACCTTTTCCAGAGGGAGCAACCCTAAGAATTCGGAACTCAGGGGCAGAATCAGGCCAGGGGAACCAGGAACACGGCGCTTTCTTATCTATAGGTCTCCTGCCGGGACACGCGCGCACCCCCGCTTTGGGGAGCATTGCTGCTCCTGCAGCCCAGCTCCGAGTAGCTCCAGTGGGGACAGATCCCAGCACCACCTCCCCTGCCGGGAGCGTCCCCCCTGCTGGCCAGATAAGAGCAGGGCTGCTCTGTTTATTCTGAGTCAAGGAGGAGCCCTCCGTTTTTTAAAAGTCAAGTAAAAATCAGCAAAACAGACAACGTCGTCTACCTCTTCGTCTCCTGGAGCTCCTAATAGAATTTTCTGTCGCGAAAAACGAGGAGCTCAGGCTTTCACTCTGGCCGGTGGTTCTTGGGATCGCTGCAGGGGTGGTGAGGGAGGAAGGAGCAGAGGTTGCGTGGCTCATAAATGGGAGCTTGCTATCTTTAAAGGCACACGGAGTCAGGTTTGGGAGGGACCTGTTAACACATCAGTCTTGCACAAATTACCTTTGACCGAAGTGACAATGCTGAGCTGGGAGACAGGAGGATGAGCAGGAGGTGGAGAATGAATGAGTCCTCGGGCTTGCTGGCGATCCCAAGAGGCTCACTCAGGACCAGATCTTGGGCTGACATTGAATTTGGGGATCTGGGTGTTAAGTATTGGCCTGACCAAGAAGGAGGTGGCCTTCTGGCCAAGAGGCACTGCTGAGCTGCTAGCAACCTGGCAGGTCTCTTCCCAGGGGAGGTTCTTCTGGTGGCCCAGCAGAACCCACTGATGTGGCATTTTCCAGCATGCCTGCTCCTTGCACGCTGGCCTTGAGGGAGCTTTTCCTAAACTGCTGCTGGCCACCTGTCGATGCTCTTCATGAGACTGAGCGCTACACACTCCAGCCTGGCACCCCAGCCTGTCCCCACAGACTGTCGCTGGCAGTCAATGCCACTGAGACTGAAGGAGCAGCAGAGTGAAGAGGGCTGTTAATCTGGTTCAGCCACGGAGTTTACAGTTGAGAAATCCTCTCTGAGGTGTGGAGGCCGTGCCCAGCACTGCAGGACTTTCCCCTGAAACAGAACCCTGGGCAGCTGGTTCCTCGTTTCTTTGCCATTGTTTCTCTGTGCCCTTTGCACTTTAGTCCTGAGGAACAGGCATGGCCCCCACCACAGCCCCTCACCCAGTCACCTTTGCAGAAGGATGCAATTATCACCCTCTGGAGGCTCTCAGCACAAGAGCATTAAGAAAAGTGCAAACTGGGGACCTGAGCAACTGGAGTGGGAGCCCTGGGAATGTCAGGTGGGGTTTAGGGGTCCCCTTAATCTATGTTCCTTTCCCTGACACCCAGGAGATGGATATTTCCTGGAAAAAAAGGTGATCATCAGGTTATTTCTATTGTGATTCATCTTAAGCCTGATTTCTTTTTTCAAGATCCCTGATAATGAGCCCAACTGAACCCTCAAAACGTTGAGAAATTTCCATAAAAGCATTGAAGAGAAAGTATCGAGCGAAGAGACATTGAAGGGGAACATTTCGTTCCAAAGTCACATCATTCCAGGATTCTGGGGAAGCTTTGTGGCTCCAGGACATGAGCGGTGGGTTCTTACTGCCTTTCTTTATGAAGCCAGTCACCCGTTACCGTGCTCGATTTTGTGGGAGTGCCGCGTGACACACTAATAGAAACAGGCCGATCATTATAGGTACGTCAATTTTTAAAATAAACTTAGTAGTTGAGGGGAAAGAAAAAGCCTACTATAAAAATAGGTAGTCACTGAATTAAGTGGGCTGGCTGACTCCCAGCAGAAGCTGTGTGCATTCACTCACTCATTCATTTCAGAAAATATTTATTGTGCGGCTCCTGCGTGTCAGGCGCTGAGTGAAGAGTGGTAAGACGGATAAGTCCTCTGCTCCCATGGAGTTCGCATTCTCGAATCCAAGGCTGAGCTAGGTGAATTCATATAATGAGAAATGCTTTGAAGGAAAGCAGAAGCAAACAGAGTGCCATGGTAGTGTTGTTTTGTAAGAGTGTGTGTGTGTGTGTGTGTGTGTGTGTGTGTGTGTGGGGTGGGTGGGAGGGAGTCTCTGAGAGACAGCCTTGAGATGAGACCTGGGGGAGACGGACAGACGGTTCCAGCAGAGGGAACCACAAGCACAGAAGTCCTGGTCCTGGAGACAAGTGGTGTGTTGGAGGCACGGTTAGAGTGCCGGCATGGCTGGACTTAGGTGAGGGAGGAGGAGAGTTGGAGGAATGAGATTGAGGGGCCTGGGCCAGGTCAGGCAGAGCCTCGTAGGCCGAGCTAAACAGTTTGGATCTTATTCTAAGTGCAGTAACAAATCAAAAGAGAGTGCGAGGCAGAGGTGTGACATACTAGATTTACATATTTTTGAGAGATTACTCAGAGTGCTGTGTAGAGAATGGATGATAGGGGAAAGAGGAGAGGACATGAGGAAATGAGCTCCATCCAGTTCACTGATGGTCACCTTGTGGAGGGGCAGTAGAGGGGTGTTGGCTATCTCTTGGAGGTAGACTGGGAAGTTACTTAATGTTTCTCTGTCTCGAATTTCCCATCTGCAAAATGGGGATGACATTGCTACACCTGGCCCACTTGTAAAACCCAATAACAGGGCTCCTCAAACTTTTTAAACAGGGGGCCAGTTCACTGTCCCTCAGACCGTTGGAGGGCCGGACTATAGTTTTAAAAAAACTATGAACAAATTCCTATGCACACTTCCCATATCTTATTTTGAAGTAAAAAAACAAACGGGCAAAAATACTCGCATGTGGCCCTCGGGCCGTAGTTTGAGGATGCCTGCCCGATAAGCTACTGAATAGGCTCTTAAGAGTAATGTAAGATTTTATTACTATTACTATTTGCTAATATTGTGTCCCATTGAATTCCCTGGGCTTTATTTTAAAATTTGTTCCAATCAATTTCAATGTCTTTTTATTTTATTGCTTTTAATAAACATAATTTATTATACATAAAAAAATATTTTGTTCTGTTCAGAGAACAACCTTTAACTAAAAGTTACCAATAAAACACACCATCATAGAATGCTTTGAAATTAATGCTAAAATAATAGCTGGCTTGATTTGGAAAGTTGAATGTGCTCACGTAAAATTCAAAAACAAAACATTTGAAGCTGGAAATTGGAAAACATTTTTAGATAGATTATTAGCATTTGTCCTTGATATGGCTGTACAGATATGTATAAGATCATTGAAAATATATATGTGATAGCAGAATTTCTGGGGAGGCATATAGAAGAAAGTTGAATAGGATTGTTACCCTTAGTGAGGCATTTTCTCTCAGAGGAAAACTTAAACTTTCCCTAGTGGATCACTCTCTAAGTTTTAGAGAGTCCGGAAGATTTTTGAAGTTGTTCATCAACTAGGGTAGGGGTGCCCTTATGAGGGACAGGACAACTACAATGAAGCAGTCCTGTTTCTCTATTTCTCTTTCCTGAGTCACTTTGTGTAGTTTACTAGAAGATGCATCTGTTTAGAGGAAGACGGGCCCTTCCTCATTCACATTGCGTGCAGTGGAAACGTCAGCTCCTTGTGACTTAACAGTCTCTGGGTCATTTTCAGTTGCCAGAGCCCATTAATGATTTATTTGGTCAGTGTGTCTGAACTTCAGCTTGAAGTGGCCAGTCTGGCAATTCAAATTACAGACAAAATGTGAGAGTAATTCTGGGATCTATATGGTTTCTCTTTTGCCATGTCTGCCATCATAGTTCCTTAGGGCTGGGGGGGTGGTTGGGACATCTTTAAGGGAGAGGTCACAGTTTCTCCTTGGCGTCAAGATCTGTTTTGTTTGACTCAGAAAATGTTTCAAAATGTTGCATTGGTTGCTATCCTTTAAAAGTCAGAGAAAGTTTTCTTGAAAACCATCAGATCTAGTAACATGGAACTGTAATTGCTACATAGGAGCAGTCAACTGGAGTAGAGTGGTGGTCCTTTTGTAGAGTTGAGTCCTTTTGGATGGGTCAGTTTGCCACAGTCCCTGCTAGTCCTTATTCTATTCCACTGGCCTGTTTCACTCATTTAAGTTACCTAGCTGGCCCTTGTGGACTTTCAATTTTTAACCTCAGGTTTAGGGCTATCTCCTCCAGCCTGTCCCTCACCCTCATCTGATGTAGGACTCCCTATTCCTGTACTGCAGCTGGTGTCCCCAGACCCGTACTTTTATGGCTCCTCTGATAAAGAAGTTAATGCTGATTGTCGAAAAGCTCCTGTTAATGGAGGTCTATGCTCTGGGTCCACATAGAGCAAGTCTAGGACCTTTGCACAGAGCTGTAGCTGTCACATGCCATCTGGGTTTTCCCGGTAATAAACTTCCCTCATTTCTTCAGCTGTTCCTTGTGTGACTTGCTGCCTTGTTCTCTTATCGTGCTGGTTATTGCTGGGTTATTGTCCCTTTGTATGACCTTTCACTTGTTAAAATCCCTATAGCCCCACCAATTCAATAAGATGTGGTCCAAACGTCCTCAAACTACGGCCCGTGGGCCACATGTGGGTATCTTTGCCCATTTGTTGTTTTTTTTTAACTTCAAAATAAGGTATGTGCAATGTGCATAGGAATTTGTTCATAGTTTTTTTTTTTAAACTATAGTCCGGCCCTCCAATGGTCTGAGGGACAATGAATTGGCCCCTTGCTTAAAAAGTTTGAGGACCCCTGGGTGGTCTAACTGGTGCAGGACACGGTGGGAGGGTGGCCTCTCTCTCTCTCTAAGATGTTATGCTTCTGTTACGTGACCTAAGATGTCTTTAGAATTTTCTTGGCCAATCCATTCCTTTTTTTGTTTTGTTTAACTTTTAGGGCTTGATTTTCCAGTTAGATTGTCCCTGAGAGTTTATAGGAGAACTGTTCGATGTATAAATTGAGAGCAGTTGTTTTCAACTAAGGGGGATTTTTGCCACCTGCCGCCCAACCAGGGGACATTTGGCGAAATCTGGAGACATACTTGGTTGCCACAACTGGGGTGTGCTACTGGCATCTAGTGAGTAGAGGCCAGGGATGCTGGTAAGTATTCTGCAAGACACAGAACAGCCCCCACAACCCAGGCTCATCAGCCTAGAATATCAGCAGTGCTGAGGTTGAGAATCTTTGTTGTAGAGTCAGGGCCTAGCTTCAGATCCTGGGTTAGCTATTTCCTATCTCTGTGACCTGGGGCATGTTATTTAACCTTTCTGTCTCCATTTTCTCATCTGTATATTGAATAGACCTGAGGACTAAATGAGTTCGCTTGTATAAGATGCTTATTAGAATGGTGGCCAGCGCAGAGTAAGCTGTTGTTATTGCTAACAGCTGTGTAAACACTATCAGACTTTTTGTCCTCACTTTATTCATTTTGGTTTGTACATAAGACATCAGACGAGTGGGTTGATCAAGGTTGAGAGGTGGCTCTTCCTTTGCAATCTTGCTTATGGGATGTGCACCAGTGGTGCATTTGGACGTCTTAGGGAGCAAAGAGCTCTTCCAAGACTGCCGTCCCTCTATGGCCCCATTATCATTTTTCAGATTCTTTCAGTATTTTAATCTATACTGGGGCATGTATGTCAGGTTTAATGCTGCAACCCCCATTTGGAGGACGTGAACACTGAGTTCCTGCAAGGAAAAAGAACCAAGCCCAATGCCTGGTCAACCCCAAGTTGCCGGGGCCTCCAGCCTCCTCCACACCTAGTCACTGTGACTTGCACCTACACGGCGGACTTGGAGTAATGATGACATTCCTCTAAGCGCTCACATCCCTATAACAACTGCACCGTCAGGGTTCCCCTTTGACAGATGAGGAAAGGGAAGTAGAAAGTGGGTGCAAACTTAGTCACTGTCACCAAACCAGTAAGTAGCAGATTCAGGATTCAAACCTTGGCAGCTGGAAGCTAGAGCTGGATTTCTAAACCATTCTATTATTCTGCCACTAGGGAGATTTTTCTCAAGGAGAATCCCCATGACCTTAACCTAACCATCATGCAGCCATTTATGCATACAACTCTCAACAGATCCAGTTACTCTTACTAAGTAATGTTACATACATGGGGTGTATATGTATGTTTCCTGTGACTCTGATGTGTTTCATGTGTGTATCATTTGGTAAGGGTAGGGGTTGACTGTGGCTTTAGTTTTTCATAATTTAAGGATCTCCGATCATTTAAGGCTGCGGTCCCCAACCCGTGGGTGTGGCCTGGTACAGGTCCACGCCCGTTAAGAACTGGCTGTGCACCACTGCCTGAGCTCCATGCCACTACCCCCACCCATGGAAAAATTATCTTCCATGAAACCGATCCCTGGTGCCAAAAAGACTGGGGACTGCTGCTTTAAGGAGAAGCTACAGTTATTCTTTAGGAAAAATCATTCTTCAGAAACTTTAAGCTCGCTGCAAGCCCATAGAGAGTACCATAGCTGAGGTGTCAGTGCCAGGTTGGCCTATCTAGGTAGGAGGTTGGGGTATTGAATCAAAGAAGAGTAAGATCAAGAACTCCCAGTATGGCAGCAACCTACCCAGTGATCTTAGATAATTTATACCTTTTTTGCCTTTAAACCATGTAGGGCACCAAACATTGGACGTTTGCACATTGGATATAGATAAGTTCCTATTTTCAAAATTGGGAGTAGAAGCAATGAATTCTATTTTACTTGCAGCTTTTAAGTACAGTGCTTGCTGGTACTTATAAATGGCTGTGCTACTAAACTGC